CCGAAGCTTCGGCTTCCAAGCAGGAAACCCACTTGACGAGCTGGTAGTAAAAATCGGCGTCGCGAACGCGTGCGTGCCCGACAGCCTCCAGGGCTATTTGTCGGGCACCGGCCTCCATGTAGTCAACCCAGTTGCGGGCGCTCTACTCGCGACTCAAAGCGTCGGTGCGCTGCTACTCCATGTCCCGCTGGCGGCGCAAATCGGCGTTACACTGCTCCTCCGCCAGGCGGTCGCGCTCCAACTCCTGCTCCTCCGCCATGTTGTCGCGCTCCAACAACTCCTCGATCTACGCATTGCCATCTAAAGATAGATAGAATACCTCCTCCCTCCGTTTGCCTTCCGGTGAAAAACCGAACACTAGTTCCGGCGGTGACCGCCTCCGGCGTCGCCTACCGCGGACGGGCGGGGGCATGGCGGACGTGGCGAGCAACGTCGGGCTGGTGGGGGCTTATGAGGATATGGCGAGTTGGTCACGGTGGCACTGGAGAATGCCGGGAAATAATACTTATAGGGGGAAGGTAGCGCGACGGTCATCGGAATTCAATGCATAATGGCTTAGTGCACCAGCTTGCCGTGGAAAACTAGGGAAACTGAAATTATGACTACTGTCCCGTCCCGTCTGGGTCGCACGCCGGCATGGCGGTCCAACGAGTCCACTCGAATCATCTCCCTCCTTGTCAATAATGATTTCATGGATTTAAAAAGCCCGCAACAATTAAAGCGTATCTTTTTCGCATCAGTTAGCTGCCTTAATTACGGCCGGCTGCATGCAGGCACTCAGAATCGCTCGCAGGCAGTATGCGAAGCAGCATGCAACGAGTCGCAGCCAAGGGCACGCATGCAGCCACTTAAATCGCTGGAATTAATTAGGCTTAAACTTCTGCATGCCGTTAATTATTGCCATGCCTTGGTCTTGCTGCTTTGCTCACGGGACTAATAAACCCGGACGGAGGGAGTACCTTGATTGGTGAGAGGTTTGAATTAAGCCCTGCAAACCGGAAAGGAGGTACTAGTACGTGTGTGATCTGCTATTTATTCGGGTAGGATCGAGTAGGTCGTTTCTTGAATTAAGCCCTGCAAACCGGAAAGGAGGTAGTACGTGCATGATATGCTATTTATCCGTGTAGGATCGATAGTGTAGCTTGTCGGTTTCTTCAGAGGTAGGCATTTTTATCCGTGTAGGGATCGATAGTGTTGCTTGTCAGTTTCTTTAGAGGTAGGCATTTTTATTCAAAAAACTGCCACTTCGCATCTTGCGTCGCAAATAAAACTGCCAGGTGCGCATTTGTAGGCTAGCTAGTGATCGATCAGTAACTTGTAAACACTGAGCGAACAGAAATAAGTAACTGTTAATGCATCTCAATGATTCACAGATCATATACAAATATGTAGCTCCAAAAGCAAAGATCAGCCACTTCGGATCTTGCGTCGTAACTAAAACTAACTAGTACGATTCCCATACATAAGATCAACATGTTAATGCATCTCAATGATTTACAGATCGTATACATATATGTAGCTCCAAAAGCAAAGATCTAGAAAAAACATCTGTTCTTCCTACTAACATGGATGCTTCTCTTGGCCAACATTCAGTACAGACTGAAAGACAAATTTGTTTGTGAAGTCTACAATTCCTCTTGCAAACGTAACTGGTTTCACCAACAGCTGGAACCATGAGAATGAACCACACATGATGGAGGAACATCCAATACAATATGATTTGGTCTTCTCTCGATCACACTGCGGGACTATTTTCGGAATAAAAACTTTAACGTAGGGAAAATGATGCCCATTGTATAATCAGACCAAAGCAATGAAGCACCAACTGTTGGCCAGTAAATAGTACAGTACTACTTTTCTGCAGTCCATGAAGTGACTATCCAATCTTTGTGTCTATTTTCAAATGGCACTGCATGCAGTGACTATACTATTCTCTTGTGCAGTTCAACCAAAATTGCGGACACTTTGTTTGTTTGCCAAATAGCAATGGGCAGACATCTCTGTTTGCACAAATATCAAGCAGCTAGTAAACATATACCACACCATGTTCGCAGTGATGGAAGAGGTGAAATCGATACAACCGAAATTGAGCATCCAATCATTGAATCATGTCCTGCACCTCCAATGTAGGTCCACCCTGCCAATAAATTCACATGCAAACCACTAGTATTACTATCTAATGACAGTACAAAAAGAGTAGCAAGATAGTAGCAAACCATGTACCTTCGTAATGAATAGCTCATAGTGCCACCAATTGGATATAAAGGTTTGGAAAAAAACATGCTCCTAATGTTGAACCAGTTGGACTTTTTGTGCAGCTCCACTAAAATCGAGCATCCTTGTTTGCATAGATATTGAAAGTGTGATTACTATAAATGTGGCACTAGTTCAAGCATAGACTCACAAATATAAGCATTCCAATTTCTTAATGGGAAAAGGTAGAAAGACTGTTTCTAACCACCTGTTTGAAGGAATAAATAAAGCAACAGCGGCTGATGTCAGGAAGGCATACATAATTTTCTTTTCTGAAAAACTGAGCCATTCCTGACCTTTCCTCTTCTTTTAAGCAAATTTTGTGCAGTTCTACTAAAATAAAATGCCATCACTGCCTTGATAATTTAGTTACACTGTACAAAGGGAAATGACTTGACATTACATCATGATGTCAGGTATGTAGTAGACAGGCATTAGAGACAAACATACAGACCTCCTCCGATAACATAATGAACATTAATTTTAACAAAGGTGACTAGCTTTACCGGGATAATTTGAGTGAACTCTACACCCTCTGTTCCTTGATATAAGACGTTTTCGCGGTTCAATTTAAAGTACCCAAACATCTAGTATTTAGAAAAACAGGTAGTAGTTTTCTTGAGCACATATCTGGGAAAGCTTGCCACACTTTATTTATGTCCATATGCTAATGCAACACCATTCGAATACTACAAATATACACTAATCCAGTGGCTAGTGCAACAGTAGAGTAGTTAGTTTATTACATGGTACAGTATAATGGTTTTACTGAACAGATTTCAATAAACTCTAGCACTGGAAGGTTTCTATAAGAATTAACAATACAAAATGTAAAGGTAACAAGTTTCAGCATTAGTATACTAGTTGTGCATGAGCATTAAACCAAATACAAAAGTATGAAGGTAACTAGCATTACTAACTAATGATAGTATAAAAAATTGCAAACCATGTACCTCCAACACTACTAGGAAAAGGGCTATAGATGATATGGACACTAATGGCGCACCAGATATGGGTGCGCCATTAGTGGCCATATTACTAATGGCGCACTTAGTGTGTGGTGCGCCATTAGTAGTTTTGTCCTGGCCCCACACCCCTCCCCAGACTTACCAATGGCGCACCAGGGGGAAAGTGCGCCATTACTAGTTTTAACTAGTAATGGCGCACCAGTAAGAGATGCGCCATTGCTATCTATACGTATGGCGCACCCCCTACCGGTGCGCCATTGCTATCACCCCGTATCCCCTCCCTCTAGTCACGTTCTCTCCCCTCCCCTTCCTCCTAACACAGCCACCCGCCTCTCCTCCGGCTCTAACCCAACGCCGCCGCCGATCTCCTCTTCCGCATCACCTCTCCGGCGGCCTCCTCTCCCCATCCACGCCGCGCCGGCGACCTCCCTATCCTCTCCTCTGTCTGCCTGGTCGGGCCGAGACCCTAGCCCGATGCCATGGCGACCATGGCAGCAGGAGGAGCCCGGTCATGGCGGCCTCCTCTCCCTGCAGCGCTGCCGCACCTCACCTTCTCTTCTCTTCTCTCCTCTTCTCTCCCAGTAGAGGAGAGGAGGGGAGGGAAGGGAAGGCCTTCTCCGGCGAGCTTCCAGGGAGGTGAGGAGCGCCCAGATCCAGATCCACGGCGCATCGTCCCGTCGTCGACCTGAGCCGCGACCATCCATCCAGGGCCGACAGAAGCCATGACGGAGATGCCAGAAACCCTAGCCTAGCCTAGCCATGGAGGTACGACACCTCAACCTCCGGGCGACAGACGACGGCTGCAGGCCATCTCCGGTGACGGATCTCCGACCCCGACCATGGTGCGTGTGGCTGCAGGCCATCTTCTTCATCTCCCCTCCCGTCCCCTCATTGGTTCGTTTTATGTGCAGGGCAGGCTGCTGCTACTGGAGGCCCACGTCGCCTGCCTCCGCGTCGCCACCCCCGTCGACCAGCTCCCCCGCATCGACGTGCAGATCGCCGCGCGCGCCCCGCCGCCCGTGCCCCCTGCTGCCGCGCCCGCCGGCGGCGAGGAGCTCGACCTCTTCATGGTGAGCTGCTACCACCACCAGGCCTCCTCGCCTCACGCTCACGCCGCGTATGGACGCCCCGCGCCGGCTGGGCCGGGCTGCCCCGCACGTGCTCTATGTTATGTGTAGTAGATTGACGCGGCATGCATGCATGTGTGGTTCGAAAATTTGGGGATTGGATGGGATTTGGCGATGAAATTGCCCCGCTCGTGTTGGGACTGGGATTGGGATTTCAAACAGGCTAAGCCAGGTTACCTTTTTCTTCCAACGCACACAACATGTTTGAATGGTTGCGCACGAGCTCACATGGGATTATTAGCACTCGCTAACCTCCGCCGGTGGATTTGGTTAAAGTTAGCTTCTTCAACTATGAGTATTATGCTAGTTCATCCCTTGATTGCTACCCATCCCACCTCCAAATAATTTACTGCGTGCTCTAGGCTCTAGCTGTGAGCAACTTTGTTTCCTCAACCACAAGCGCCTCACCTCTGCGATAGAGACAAAAGCAAACCCCAAAAAACAACTACAAGTGTCCCTTTGCTAGGCAAGCAGGGGCTCCTTCCTTTGCCTGGAAATGGCAATTCTCCTTGTGTAAAGGTTATTATCGACCACCTGCCTTTTTCTCTATATATGTGTTCTAAAGGTTCTGTTTTCCTTGTTGCAGACACACTATGTGCTGCTCCTCTGTTCCTTCAAGGAATAGCTCCAGCAGCATGTGCGCGTCCACGCCATGGAGGCGGTGATGGCCTGCTGGGAGCTCGAGCAAACTCTGCAGAGTCTTACAGGTACCATACATCATCTTGACTTCATCAGTTCAGCAGCAAGATAAGTGCTTCTTAAATTCTCTAGGAAGAGGGTTTTACAATCTCCACACTACATGCTTATTAAGAGGTTGATAGTCACAGTAAGTATCATGCTACATGAGGGGCGCCGTTTCATAGGATCTCAACCACAGGGGAATTCTTTTTTAAAAGAAGGGATCCATTGCTTCTGCTCTCTGCATCCAGCGAGTACAAACATAACACAAATACTACCTCTGTACCAGAATATAAGAACTGCAAAAACGTCTTATATTTTGTTTTTCAACTCAACTAGAAAGAGCTCGATGACTGGCCATTTTCCTGTATTATTGCACGTCGTGACAGAAAATATAGGTCATAATTCACACCCTTGTAGGTCCTATGAGATACTAGGTCCACCTTTATAGTAGTACCGGTTCCTTCTTATATATTATTATTAGTTACAAGAGTTGCAGACTTTGAGCTGTTGGACCTGGCTTCAAAGCTGTACCTTTTGAGATTTCAGTTCGGTGTATGTGGCAGTTATTCATGAACCTTGTGTTGCACCAACCATGCAACTGAACTGACAGTACCTTGCATTCATAATCTTAGCTAAGTTGTCCTAATAAAGTCTCTCTTAATATGTCTACTGCAATTAGCTTCCACACGGAACAGTCACGGACTATATAATCGGGAACCATCACACAAGGGTTACCCTTTCAGATACTTTATGTTGCTTGTCAAAATGACATATAATCCATATAGGAAAAGAAGCCCCTTGCGTAGTGCAAAAAAAGCGTTGCATATTGAATAATGCTTCATCGTCAAAATGAACTGACATGGCTACAAAATTTCTAGTGGAATTGTACTTTACTTGAATTTAATTCATGGATATTGATTGTCTGCATATAGTACTGTTTTTAGTTCCTTTTGCTACGTCACATTTTCCACCATTTTGCCTGTAGGCATCACGAGGCACACACCTATGAGAAAACCATGCCAATATCCAGTCACACTGGAAACTGGTGTCGCTGTGAAAACCAAAGGGAGTGATTTTTCTTTTTTTTGTTGACAATAGAACTTTGCATAATCTGTTTGTATGTGTAATCATAAATCGGTTTACGATGAGAGGCATATGCTTGAACATGGAAGTTTGCCTTCAGATAATAATGAGAATTGTGTCAGAAAAAAAATAGAGCAAGATTAAGCCTGGATAGGCTTAGTTATATATTGTACTGAAAAAAACTAGAGCAAGAATAAGTACCTGCCAAGGCAAGACGCAATATAAATGTGACCAGGATAAGTTGGAGATTGGCCAGTTTTGAGTTTTGCTAATATCGATTCTTCCTATAGGGGCATCTCCTGGTGAAGGCACCGGGGCAACTATGTCCGATGACGAAGACAATCCGGTCGACAGTGAGAGCAACATGTTTGACGGGAATGATGTGTCAGATGGCATGGGCTTCGGAATGCTAACCAAGGGTGAGAGATCCTTGGTCGAGCGCGTGAGGCAAGAGCTGAAGCATGAGCTTAAACAGGTAAAGCTCGCTGCCTTCCATTCTGTCAGCTGCCACTATGTTGGTGTCCAAACTGAACTGTAAACAAAATTATTTTCCTGACTTTGCAGGGGTATAGAGAAAAGCTTGTGGACATCAGGGAGGAGATACTGCGGAAGCGAAGAGCCGGAAAGCTCACAGGGGACACGGCGTCTACCCTGAAAGCTTGGTGGCAAGCCCACGCCAAATGGCCGTACCCAACCGTATGTGACAGACATCCCGCATATACCGTCATCGCCAGCAACTTTGTCACCATTTTACATGCAATTCTTGTTGTGCTACTGATGAGCATCGCTGGTGGGTATTGCTAGGAAGAGGACAAGGCGCGGCTGGTGCAGGAGACGGGGCTGCAGCTGAAGCAGATCAACAACTGTTTCATCAACCAGCGCAAGCGGAACTGGCACAGCAACCCTACCTCGTCCTCGTCAGACAAGAGCAAGAGAAAAAGGTACGGCGATCGGCCCAAAAACAATCCTTTCATCACATGCTTGAAATCGCTCAGGTTTTCATTCCCTCTCTTTCATTCTCAAAAAAAAGGAACAATGCAGGTGAGGGCAACGCCGAGCAGTCCTGGTAGGGTGGGTGCGGTCGGTCGGAGAGCGAAGAACGAAGAACGAATGCCCCATATATGTACATAGCGCTTCCATCTTGTCGATGATTAGTGTTGAACCTCATATGTCCTCTGCAATTCATTTCCATTATAATCTTACTCATACAATATTCACACCATGTAATTCTGGAAAAGAAAGTATTGACATGTTATAAAAAATGACAATATTGACATGTTATAAATAGTTTGTTTGTATTTCTGTTTATTTTGTTACATTTTGCAGGGATAAAGTGAAGAAAAGAAGAAAAGATTACTAGAAGATTAGTTTTAGGGTTTTCTTTTATTTCCTTGCAATTTTCCTTTTATTGGATACTTGTAAAGACATTGTAATATTCTTACTATAATAAAAAATATGATTCTATTTCATTTTTTGTTTTTAAATTATTTTCCTTATAGGTTGTTTTCTGTAAAATTGGATTTTTTTTTGTTTTCCAAATACATTACTAGTGGCGCATTTAAGCCCTTATTAGTGGCGCACCTTCCTTTTTTACTAGTGGCGCACCTATAAGGTTATTAGTGGCGCACCTAGAGGGAATATCAGTGGAGCACCGAATGGTATACTAATGGTGCACTGCTAGGTGCGCCATTAGTATACCAGATACTAATGGCGCACCAGTGGTGCGCCATTAGTAAAAATTACTAATGGCGTGCTAGTAATGGCGCACCACTGATGCGCCATTAATGGCCATATTAGGTGCGCCATTAGTAGGGGTTTTTCTAGTAGTGCAAGGTAAATATCATTTCGAACTCGGGGGGACCTTAAAAATTGCTATCCCAATCTTGATAATCGATCAAACATAAAAGCTTGATCTTTCCTCTTGATAATCAAGAGAACAGCCGGAGGAGGAGGTGCCCACTCTTGACCGTTCCTCTTATCTTCATAATTGTCTATGCAGTTTAACCAAAATAAAATGACATCAGTGCCTTGGCATTTTGGTGACACTGTACAAAAAAATTAACTTATCTCATGAAAGTGAGGTATGTAATCTATAAGCATTAACAGTGCAAAAATCTGAAGGTTATAAAATTGCTTGACTTGACTGCTGGCGTTATACTAACAAAAAAAGTGGCAATAAGAGCATGGGAGGCCCATTCGGACAGTGGGCGCACCAGTACGATGTACCTCCACGGACGCAGAGTGGTGAGGGAGGTATGGTTGTCCAGAGCAACAAATATCCAGGCAGCATATGTGGATTACGTCCCTTCTTGTTCTCTTTAGCCACCTTTTTCCTATGTGAGGACAACAAACCGATCGACCTGGTCATTCTCTATCGCGTTGTCATGCCTTTCTACCCTTCTTCAACCAAGAGACACGAGACTCGTTCCTTAGCTACTGATTTTTCCCCTTTTCAACCTAGATGCGGGTTCGATGCCTACTCTCTTGGACAGTACAGTCTCCCTTCCTTTCCTTATTCAACCCAGACATGCATTAGTCTGCATGAAGTAGGGTTTCCTTTAATAGTGCAAATTATGGTTTTCTTTTGCGTGGCCAGCAGAGCAGAGGATAGCAAATTGGGAAGATGGTGGAGTGGAAAAAGATCCACATGCAACGACGTGCCAGATGGGGCAATAGAACAAGGGTATGGTTCGAAAAGAGGTAGCATACCTGAGGGTCGGCAGGAAGTGGCTTTGCTCGTGGTCGTCGTCCTCCGCACACACTACAGCAGCGATCCCGCGCGGGCGCTAGGTCTGGGAGGACGGCCTTGTCGTCAGTGCATGACCTCGCTCAACGATGACGAGTGCATCAACGCTGCACGTCCTTTTCTTCCCCGGCGGATCTGTGACCACTGGTGAGGAGGGAGAGAGGGGCCATCTTTTTTAGATCTGGAGAGAGGGTGGTAGTGTGAGAATCAAGTGGGCAGCCCTTGGCAAGAAAGCGCTGAAGCTCCAGCCTATATATCTTCTTTATACTACTAGTACTGGAGGTGGAGTAGTGGTAGAGTAGTTTATATTTTCTTTGCGTACAGTACCAGTTAGTCGTGCTTCAAAACTGAACGGCGTGCCATTAAAAAAATAAAGGCCGATAACTAATGCGGCACCTCGGGCCAACGCGGCCAGATCGCATTTTGCACGATAAATTACACACCATGTCTCGTTGACATGTGGTCCCGTTCCACATATCAGTGAGACGACGGCGAGTAGTAGGAGTATTTCTGAACCGACGTGTAGGCCGGGGCACCCCTTCGTGAACCGTGGCAAACTGGCAACTGTCCACCGACTCTTCGCCTTTCCCTCTCGATTTGGAACTACTGTCGCACGCTCTTCCTCTTTCTCCTCCATTTTCCTTCAGCCCTTCACCCTTTCTTCTGCCATTGTTCGATCGTCTTCTCCATGGAGGGAACAGGACGGAAACGACCCTGTTATTCTTGCCCCGATCTGAAAGATGACGTGGTGGAGGAACTCATTGATCGGTGCGACGTCATCACCTCGGCTAGCATGGCAAGTTTGTTCAAGCCCATTCTCTACTTAACTAATAACATCATTACAAGCAACCCAAGAGTCAAGGAGCGGTTTGGTCTCCCCTATATTCTTCGCCGTGACCCTGATGACTGGCGCCGTCACGACGGAGGCCTCGCCCTATGCAAGTTAATGCCGCTTGATAATGATACGTATGATGTTAAGATGCCATCGCTTGAGGGCAAGGCTTGGGCAGGCGCAAATGGAGATTGGGTTGTTTACATTGGGTCCAACTGCGAGTGGGAACTTGTGAATGTGTACACTCGTGACCGGGTTCCACTTCCAAAAATCTCAGCAGACTGCCCAGAGGTTGAGCACACAGGTATTGTACGCACGTTCAAAAACAATCATGGTGGTTGTCTTCTACGGAAGATAGCAATTTCTCGAGTCCCCAACCGCTCTTGGAATTACAAAAACTATGAAGTTGTTGCTATCTTCGACAAGCTTGTTGTCGTCGTCAGTGGTTTGACTGGATGGATATTGCTCAAAAATCAGTTTTTGTACACGGATGAGAACTGTCATGCAATTCAATACGAGGGCCTTGTGTTTGCTGCCACCACTCGTGGCACTGTTTTTGCATGGCATCCTCGTTGTTTCGGTACGTTTGTCTTCCACCATAATTATAATTGTTTCATCCACATGCATGCGGGTTAGCAAGGCTTGTCATAGTGGGGAGTAACTTAGACTAGTAACATGCATATGTTACTAGTTTATGTTGCTACCTCTATAGTGCATAGTATCTTAGATTAGTATCATATGTGGTCTCATTTATTGCCATGCATGACACATAGTAGCATCACATTTATTATGTTACGGTATCTACCTATGTTACTATAACCATCTCTCTCTTCCTTAATTGCCTGCCACATAAGCATGTTTGTGAGTCCCAAGTGCATGATACTACTTATGTTACCCCCACTATGGCCAGCCTTACTAATTAACCTTCTTCTTGTGTTTCCAAGGTCCTGTGAACATTCCACCACCTATACTTGAAGATTTTTATAACCAAGGGGGAGATGATGATGGTGATGATCACGAGCATGAGGACGAGCAGCGCCCGTATACTATTTGGCGCCTGGCAACTAATTCCGATGGATCACCTCTTCTCGTGTGTATACAGCCCACTGATGATGTTACTACTAAGGAAGCAAGTGTAGTCTCCCATGGTCGCACTCTTCAGACCTATTCCAACACCCGTTGCATGGTATTCGGGATGGATACTAGTGTGCTAGCGCCAACTCCTTCTCCCTGGTACAGAATTGATAGTCTTGGAGAAAATTCGCTCTTCCTTGGACAAAACTATCTGATGATGGTGAAAGGCGATCCAACTGCTATTGACACAATGTTACTACCATTTATGAGAAGCAATGATGTCTATACCTCGGACATTTGGGTGGTTCCCTACCCTGGTACTGATATAGTAGGCCGCTTCAGCCTGGATGATCAGTCCTGCGTTGGTCTCCAGATCGACAATGGATGGCCCGTCCCAGAGAATCACTTGTGGTTCAAAGCAAGCATTTCCAACGCCGAGGAATGGTTGAGTTGAAGTTCATTTCATTGCTTGTTATTTGTTGTGTGGTGAAAACTTTAGTATTTATAATGTATCCTCATTGTCGATGTGGGTTGATGACCTGTTGTATGTAATAAAATGATATGCCTGTGATAAACTTACTAAATTTATGAATGGCTTTCGAGTTGCTTCTGTGAGTGAGTGGTGCGACGGGGCAAAAAAATATTTTCCGAATACATAATTGTACGTGCATTACAATAGGTTATCGGATGGGGGCAATCAACAATAGTAGTACACTATTTGTACTAGCTTCACATGCTTTGCACGTCGTGCGGGTGTTTTTACTGTAGCCATATTGTACTACATAACCAGCACCTTGAATCCTCGATACTAGTAGTACTATATAGTACTAACTAGTAGGAGTAGTAGGGTGGCATGGGCCAGAACAAGCATTCACGTCCAGGAGTACGGCACATGCCACCAGCATGACTTCCATCTGACATCATATTTCTTGGAGTCCATGCTAAAGCAATCTCTTCAACCTCATCGTTTCTCTAACTCAGCCATTGCGCGGAGGGCGAGGTGGGGGTTTGCCGATAGTCGGTTTCCTTAACTGCGGTCCCACCTGTAAGGCCAACTGCAACACACGACCCCAAACGGACCTCCATTTTGCACGAACTCCAATAATAATTTTGACTAGAAAAGCAAGACCAAAGAAAACAAGAACCACAAGAATACATTTTACTACTCCTATAAGTTGGATTAGTGCCTTCTCGATGCATTCATTGTTGATCTACGGAGGCTCGATCTTGCGTGCTTCTTTCTTCTTCGAGTGTAAAGAAGTAGACGTTGCTTCCTCGCATCTAGTCTCATGTCTAGCCTCTATTCTAGTACTCCCTCCGGTCCATTTTTCTCTGCGTCTAAGCAGCAACACGCATACCAAGTAGGAGTATCAACAAGTGCACTAATCTCATC